TCTGATACAGCGAATTAGCCTCGGGTCCCGAACAAGTGACAGAATCGACTCACGTAGATGTCAAAGTCATTCGCGTCAACACCTGTATTCCAAGATCAGACGTGCATATATCCCTTGCAGAGATTCTCACCACCAGCGTTGATGGCCTGGACAATCATGCTCTTGCCTGCCGCGGCTCCACTAGTCCAGGTGAATTCAAAACATTTGCAGCCTGCGACGTCATATTTCTAGAAAATGTTCACAATCAAAAGTTCCGGAACCCACAAGTTGCAGTCGCGGTGCTCCCGTGGCCAGCAAAGCCACAACTGAAAGTGCTGTTAACAATGATGGGTTGGTAAGATGAGCAGGAATAGGCCAGATTGGCCGTTCCGCTTGAGGCAAAGCAGACGTTTGTAGCGCCAGATGCGGCCACACCGTTCGACTTGTTGCATGACTTTACAGGTCCTTTTGCACCTAGACCGATATCGACTTTCAGCACTATATTAATTAATTGTAAAAAGGGATTGAGGCTTACCGGAAGAGAGGTTGGATGTGTATCCGCAGGCAGGCTCGCAGCGACGCAAACGATTAAGCCAAGCGACGACTGAAATAATTCGTGGACCTCACCAATCCCAGGTGGTAGTTGTTGTGCCAGCCGTCTGTGCCTCAACGCCGGCGAGGGCGAGGAGGTTCAGAAGGGTGAACACCATTTCTTAACTTGAGGTAGATTCTCAAATGTGATGGTTTAAGTAGCAGCAAGGAGCCTGCATGCAACCTAGGCTACCCGGTGCCAAGATCAATTCGATCCCCAGAATGACCCAAGGAAAAAAAAATTGTTACCGACGAACCAGCGAAAGAGGATGGATGAATCACTAGGTATGAGAGGGATCATGAGCCTCTGTTAAAATTCTTCCGCTGCGAGAAGCGAGAAGACTTCCTTCAAGATGCGAGCGAGACCATGCATGTGAGGTGAAGGCTGCCTCTTCTATGTCTCGACAATTGAATTGTGGAGGAACAAGACGACCCGAACGGACCGGGGGAAGGAGCTCCTTCCCTTGGAAATGTAGGCAGTTGACGGGGTTCGTGAGTTGGCAATTGGCCGAGGATACTGATGTCGTGCATTGCTGCGGGACAATAAGACTGAATGACCTTGCAAAGAGTCGTGCCCTCGATGGGGGACAACACGCACTATCTCTCAGTGTGCTGAGAGATCTCAGAGGAGAACCTATGGCTCCTAAGGGTCCAAGAATTAAAGATCCCATGTGGTGACAGCTTCTAAGTGACATGGAGCTGAACGAGATTAGACAGGACCGCAGTGTAAGGACCCGAAAGAGCTAGGATGTTGACATATTCAACCTCGAAGTTGAGTTGAATGACCATGAGGCTGAGTCGTAGATGAATCCTGAAATTCTGACCGACCACCAGCCAAGCACCAGCAGCAACTTTTTCAAGGTTCGAAGTTGATGTCCAAAGGGGATCCAAGTGGCGTGAGAATCTATTTTTCATCGCACTGTCCAAGACTGATTGACTCCCGAACGTCGATTGAACGTTGGCTCTCCCTTTCACATATTGGCAACCATGACTTGGAATCTCCCTGCCGGGGTCTCCTCGCGCTTTGTACTAGTGAACGACCTCAAAATGCATGTTCTTGAAGGGGGAATCGCAGGAGACGGAGTAGAGGGAGATGGCAAGCAGCGACCAATGATCCTCCTTCTCCATGGCTTCCCAGAACTATCCTACTCTTGGAGGAAAATTATCATTCCGTTGGCCATCGTAGGATATCGTGTTATCGCCCCTGATCAACGCGGTTACGGTGCAACTCAGTGTGCAAATCTGGAGGACAGTGAGACTCCCACCATCAGATACGAAGACGATATCTCTCCATTCCGGATGTTGAATCTGGTGAAAGATGTCGTCGCATTGGTATATGCGCTGGGATATACATCTGTGGAAGCCATCGTAGGGCACGATTTTGGATCTGCCGTGGCTGCCCATTGCGCTCTCATCCGTCCTGACTTGTTCAGGTCGGTGGTCCTGATGAGTGCTCCTTATCCAGGACCGCCTACCTTGCCATTTGATATTCTTGCTACTTCATCAGACTCGTCCGTCAGCCAACCACCCTCGTCACTTGCTCCTCGCGTCGATGCCCAACTGGCGGAGCTCCACCCACCGCGAAAGCACTACACCACTTACTTATCTACCTCCTCGGCCAATTTTGACATGCACAATGCACCGCAAGGATTGCAGGCATTCTTGCGAGCCTATTTTCACATGAAGAGTGTTGACTGGGATGGCAATAACCCATATCCTCTATCCTCGCCCACCGCATCCTCGCTCGCCGTCATGCCTCATTACTACATCATGCCCTTGGGGGAGACAATGCCAGAAGTCGTTGCTCGACATGCTCCTCTCGCAGAGGAGATCGAGACAAACCATTGGCTCACGGATGACGAACTGCGTGCCTATGTCTCCACCTACTCGACCACCGGCTTCCAAGGAGGGTTGAACTGGTACCGATGTATGACATCGTTATCTCCTTCATACACCTCGGAGCTTGCTGTTTTCTCGGGGAAGACGATCGAGGTGCCCGCGATGTATATTGCCGGAGGGAAGGATTGGGGCATTTATCAGAATCCCGGAGCTGTTGAGAGGATGCGTGATGTCGTTTGTCAGAAAATGGACGAGGAAGATTTCGTCTTGATCCACGGCGCAGGACACTGGGTGCAGCAGGAGAAGCCGGAGGATGTAGTGTACCATATTCTACGGTTTTTGAAAAAGGCAAGCACATTTGGATTCTTCAAACCCTTTTCCATAATCATGTCGGAATCAAGGCAAAGTGATACAGGAGGCGAAATATGGTCGTGTCGCATTCATGTTTGTCCAAACAGTGATTATATGCTCATTGGTAGAATGGTTCCTCCTCCTGAGGATCGTCAACCACTCCCGATCTGCATGGCTGAGGGTCATTCAATCGTTGGGGCACTCTCGGTCCCGGAAGCACTGATCACCAATCTCTGCCAAAGAGATCCGATGCGTCGCCATCTCAGTTGCCAATCGCCTTTACGTGGCGAGCCTACAATATCGGGTAGGACGTTGATCCACCTATCCAGATGAGATTGATGGGTGCGATGAGTCTTAAGAGCAGCGTAACGAATGCGCGTTTTACGGGCACTTGTCTGCAGTGGTGATTTTCTTCATGATCAGATCGCAGCTCAAGCATGAGGGGGGATCGCATTGCATTTTTGGAAGACTGTAGATTGGTCACCCGCGAGTATTTCTGGGTCTAGTCTATGCTCTTCGAAGTACAAGCTGCAAAGACTGATCGAGTTCGACTGCGAAGACAAATCCGAGATGTTAGTAATGTGATGTGTGTTTACCTTATCTGGTCTTGCATCCTCCATGGTTTTGGGTCAGAGGACTCAGACGCCGACGACATGGATAAATGGTTACCCAAGCTGGTTTATAGTCGTTACTATCTTCGTCTCCTTCCCCACCACCATCCCCTCCTACATCCATGTCCGATCCAGTCAAACCTGTCCAGAACAAGGCTGTCTCCAATGGCATCCCCCCTCCTGAGTTGGATCTGCCCGTAGGTCATACAATGCTCGTCTTTCAAAGACGGTGACTTCACAAAGATTGTAGTTTCCGGACCGACCTGAGATCATTACGGACAACTTGATGAAACTGACGACACTGGTCCCCAATGAGTGAGCTCAGGTTCGTGACCCAGCGAAGTCGAAACTCACAACTTGGTTGCAGACGGAACAAGTTCATCTTCCAGAAACTCATCGGTCATTTGCATCAGTTTGTCAGTGAGACAAGGTGCGCCCCGCCTTACTCGATCGCCTTCTTCTGTGCGTTGACCAAGGTGATCCACAGCATCACCACCGAGGAATGGATGAACACCATCCAGTTCTTGACTCGAACTGGCCAAACCTGCACACCACTTCGTCAGGAATTCATTCTTCTTTCAGATGTCTTAGGCGTCTCTGCTCTCGTCGATGCATTGAACAACCCTCCGGTGAGCGGGGGCACATCGAGTAGCGTGCTTGGACCGTTCTTCACCGAAGATGCACCTGATGGTACGTTACAATCCAACTTCTCGACTTTCTCGTACGGGTTCTGAATGTGTTACAGTGGAGCTAGGCGCCTCCATTGCATCCGAAGGAAAAGGCCAATACATGTACGTTGAAGGTCGTGTGTTATCAACGGATGGAAAACCTATCCCCGATGCCGTGATTGAGACATGGGAAACGGATGAATTTGGTACGTCAATGAAATTTCTGCTTCGGTAGTCCTCGACTTGACCTCTGGATCTGTAGGATTCTATGATACCCAATACGCTGATCGTCCTCAAGCGGACTGTCGAGGCCGTCTCCGATCCGACAAGGATGGAAAATATGGCTATCGGGCAGTCGTCCCCGTTGCCTATCCAATTCCTGGCGATGTACGGCACTCTTATACTCTCCCCGATGCATTCATTTCTCACATGAGATGGCGATAGGGTCCCGTTGGTGATTTGCTGCTACTCCTCGGCCGCCACAACATGCGACCCAACCACTTGCATATGATGATCGAAGCCCCTGGCTATCAGAAACTCACAACCGCATTCTATCCTGAAGGCGATACCTATCTCTCCAGCGATGCCGTGTTTGGTGTGAAGAAGTCCCTCGTGGTGGTACGTCCTTGTCTTCCTAAATGTATCCGCCATCCCTGACCCTCTTATCACCCCTCCGCCAGAAACTCACGGACGTAAACGATGATGGTGAAGCTCGCAAGCGTGGTTTCCCCAAGGGCGGTTCTTTCAAGCTTCTGCAATTCGATCTCATTTTGGTTGAAGAGGAGCAATCGAAAGCCGCTCGTTTGCAATACGCAAGGGAGCATGGTGTAAAAACATAAAGCAATGTATGAATGGCCAAAGTTTGTATACTAGGGACTTCAATGTCATTTTACACTCTTGAATTTTGAGTATGGCGCTGGTCCCGGGCCAGCAAAAAACTATTCCAATTCACGGCCTTCTATAGCAGCGACTCGTCTCGATCGAGTGACCTTGGGGTTATGAGCCCCACGCGCTTCCGACTGCGCCACGCTGCTGGTAACGTAACCCATGGCAAATAGCAAATCTGTACATGATCTTAGCAGATGTCGAGTACAGTGTTCGCCGCCACGACACGGAGATGGAACTGTTCTGTGGGAATCCCTTCCCTCTGGACCGTGCTGTACAGCTGCGTAGAAGTCACATGAAGAACGTATACATAACATACAGCCCTTATCGAAACACGAAGAGTAACCAGTGCGGTGGATGGGCGGAGATGGTACATTAGCGTAAGTAGGGTACAAGGGAGGAAGCCAACGGGTTGTACATGAGTTTATTTGATTCTTGGTAGCGTGCCGCGATAGCCGGGGTCCTTCTTCGAGCGGAGATCTCCCAAGACACGGCCAGCCTTCAAGGTCGCAACGGCATCTGTACGAGGGAGGGTAGAGAAGCAAGTATAAGAATCATCTCGACGAAGCAAAGGAACAATATGCATTTACACTTATCGCCACTTGGATCCTGAGCTTGCAGCTTCCGTTTGAGTAATACGGCCGGAAGCAACATGCTCATGTCCCTCTTCCCATCTAAACACAGTTTGAATATTTCCTCCCAGTTTGTCAACAAGAATCGTTCCTCCACCGGACTCTCAACGCGTCCGCCTTCGGTGTGACCGGGGATCACACTGTCCCGGACACGGACACGGAATACTGAGACGCCGACACCACCGTTTCTCATAACGGAGTTGCGGTCGGCTGCAAGGGCTGAGTTGATTGGGTTGGTCCAGTAATCTGGGTGGAAAGGCTGGACTGAGCATGATAGGAAGGTGAACATTTGGACTTTCGGGGCTTTAGGGTCTGTGTTGTATGCGACATCGATATCCAGGAAGTGCGTGTGTACTCTCTCAGGATGGATTTCTACCTGGAGAGCTTGGACTATGGCAAAGTCAATCAAGCTTCGGTGGATCTGAGCCACGAGGTGAAGGGCAATTGGAATATCAGTGGAGGAATTCACCGATGTTTCGACGACGGACTTACCAAAGACCACTTCCTCACATCCTTGAGAACTGTGAGTAAATCTTTGCCTGTTCCGTCTCCGATGGTGAACCTTTGCTCGTTCACGCCACCAGTTATACTTCCAACAATCATATCTGGATTTTCGCGTTGCATCTGACCTGCAGCACGAAGTTTGGCCTCCATCTTACACGCTTCCTTATGATTCGACCAATGGGCCCGTTGGCAGTCCTTATTCTGGGTGGAACAGGGGACATTTCATGATGCGATAACGGAAGAACGAGACGCGAATACCCACGCAGTATACGGCATAGCGACAGCCTGGTTCGAGAATTCATTGGGTCAGTTCTGGAAGAAACATGGGGAAAGAGATACCATACCAGCGCATTTCATCAGCTTTTCTTGCCCTTTACCGCAGTTCCAGCACTTGAGGTTTTCCGACATGATACGGTAGGTCTTAAAATGCTGTAAAAGCGAGGCGAGCTAGTATGCTAGCTGGTGACCTGTGAGGGGCGTGTCCGTGACAGTGGCGATACGTGACGTCACGTGTTTAATCGCCGCTGCTTCGCTTGTCGCCCTCGTCCAAAGCAACCTCCGCCGAGACTATATGAGGTTACAGAGACATTCCCAAGAAAATCGAAAATAATTAAAATTCATAAAACGACGCAGTACCCGGCAGACCTTCCCAAGGAGATGATCATTCAAGGTCATAAGCCACCGCATCTTCGCGACAACGATCGCGGGACTCGATAAGCAGAGACAGTCCAGACGAAATCAAGTCACTTGGAGGTAGGACATGGGTGGAAGTGTTGCATGGGTCAATGGATAGAAGCGGTGAGAAGTTTACCAAATAAGCTGGAACGACCAACCAGTCAACGAAACCTCAAGTTCCTGAGGTCACAAGCTCGATAGCCAAGGCGAGTGCAAGTACAGTGTTTCCGTCGATGGCAGCAACAGCGACTGGGTCGCTGCCTCCTCCGCACGTCCAACAGATCCCTTCTCATCACCAACCCGTTACTCGACTTTTGAGACGTGATCACCTTGTATAACACCGTCTGGAGTGATGATAGCGTCCATCTTCCAATCATGCTCCCCGATTGGGACCACGCCTGATTGAAGGATTTGTTCGCGGAGGGAGAGTGCGACTACGTGGGCGACGATTGCGAAATGGGGGGTTGATATATCAGGGCAGGCGTCACACGGGGAAGAGGACGACAATTCAAGGGCGGTATCGGTGTCATTGGCGGAGGGAGATGTGGCATGTTAGACAGTCGTCGATCAGAGAAAGAAGGGAGAAAGACAAACCTAACGAAGGTCTCCTTACGTCGACTTTCGAGGAGATGCAATTCGTGATAAAGCGATCGTAATAGCCTTTGCCGTGACCTAGACGAGAAAGAGAAGGGTCGAACGCTACGCCTGTTTAAGTGGGGGATGAGTGAGACGATGGTAGGGTCAGATGGGTACAGACCTGGGAGGAGGATCATATCGAGTGGTTCAGAGACTTCGTCCAGGGCTATAAATTTAACACGAGGGTCAGAATTGTATCGTAAAGCCATCTCGCAACATGACCGTGAAGAGATGTGGGTTCACGTATCCTACCTACAACCTCCAAAAAAGCTGACCAGGAATCAGAGAAAGGAACTCGCAGAAGACTTACCACTCTCCCTCCTCTTACCCTTCCACTCCCATCCCGGCTCACTAATCCCCCACAATCCAGCGGGGAACGATCTGAGGTCCTCCTCACTGTACACCTTTAGAAAATCCATCTTTGGCTCGGAGTTAGGTACTGGGGGGTGAATCTTGGGCACGAATAGGGCTTTGCCTCGAGAATGAGATAGGTTCCATGTAGAAATAAGTGGGGGGATGCAGATTAGAACCGGGTATGGTCACCTGCTCGCAAGATTTCCAACACAATTGAGGAAGTATCGACTTCGCCAGTTGGCATACTCAGGTAACAGCTGATGGATTTGGCAGCATGAAAACTGGGAAGTGAAAGTATATGGGATGTTATTGCTTGTGCTGTGGGTGTATCAATGGAAATTAGGTGGGGACGGATGGAGGGGAAGCTCGACGAACATTGTAATTGGATTTCCGCGGTAGGTACCGCGGAGAGCGTAGCAGACAGAGCCTTTCGCAGTGCCTTCTTCTGTGCTCTGAGGGGTGTAGTTGCTGCCATCGTGAAGCCACTGAAGGGGACAATGGATGTGCGAGAGAAAGGTGGTATGTCGGCATCTCGATTGTCGACAACATGCAAGATCAACCATTGGGACATCTCGACACATCGTACGCTTTCTTTCTCGTGGCCATGTCACGAAACGACGGCTCATCCTCTCCACCACCTCCGACATCTCCAACCTCCCCACTTGCACAGTATCCACCACTCCCGCCCCTTCAAAATAAATCCCTCGCACCAGAATTCTACGGTTTTGCAACCCTCATCTCCACTTACCTTCTTTTCGTCGTCTACCTGCTTTGGGCACTCCTACCCGATGAATGGATAGTTTGGCTGGGAGTCGAGTGGTATCCTAGTCGGTAAGTGTTTTGAATTGTGTCACTTATCGTTAGGACTGCTTACCATCAACTTTTTTATGGCAGCGAGTGGTCCTTGTTAATCCCAGCGTACACCATCGTGGTTATCCTCTTGACATACTTTACCTACTTTGCGCTGGCGATACGTGCGACACCTGCATTCAATGATTTGAGCACTATGATAGGTGAGTTGACTCTCGTCTCTTCCGTCTTTCCATTCCCCTCTCGTACTCCTCCCTCCTCCCTACCTACGAAAGTCTCATTTTCAACCATGTATAGACCTCAAATCTCACGTCCCAAAGAATCTGGATGCTACAAAACCACACCAATATCTCTCTCACTTACAAAAAGACGGAGCTATGAGGGAGATGCATGACGTCCCCATCGGACTGGTCAATAGGATCTTATATTGCAATTCCAAGACAACCTCACATCTTACCGCCGAGCGCAAGTCAACATAACCAATGGTTTCTCCCCCATAATTCGTGCGATGTCCGGTCATTCGAGGACATCGCGATATGATTGGACTGGAACCAACCTGTCCCCTCCTCCCCATCTTATATGTCACAAATGTAACCCTCTGTCGATGATACAAGGAACCTCTGGCCGCAGCTATCCAGCTTGCGGGCCACAAGCAGCATCCTGAGTGGCAGGCGGAAGGTCCACTTTCCGGAACGAGAGGGCTGATTGATTCTTTGGCTCAGCGCCCCCTAGATGAAGCATTCGCCGATTCAGTGGTCGTCATATATCCCATCACTTCTACATCGTCTCCCCGAGACTTCGCAACCTCCCCGCCCACTCTTCAACAGCCGCGATCACGCTCGCTGTCATCGCAGTCGCGCCAAATATGCCTCCCTCCGTCTCCACCGTTTCACAAGTCGCCTCGTGCAGCTTCGATGATCCAGTACCACAAGCATCCACCACAAGCAAACAATCAAACCCTCTATCATTCGCGTCCCTCATCGTCCCACTCACACATACATCAGTCGTCACCCCAACGATCACCAAATTCCTCACTTCCCTCACTTTTAATAACAACTCGAAATCGGTATAACAAAAGGCTGATTTGCCTGGTTTGTCGATGATGGGTTCACCAGGAACGGGTGTTAACTCGTCGATGATGTCGTGACCACGCTCTCCACGTATGAGGAGACGACTCATCGGGCCTTGGTCGCCGATCCCGATACCGGTTGGGTTGTTCCGCGATCGAATGAGTTCGCGAGAGGTGAGATCGAAAAGGTCTGCTCGATGGCCTTCTCGAGTGTGGAAGATTGGAAAATTGTGCCGACGGAAGAGGGTTGGGAGTTTTTGGATTTGTGGGATGGTCCGGCGGGTAGGCTCAAGTGAGTATCCTTGATACTCGAGGTATCCTCCCGGAGTGCAGACTGGAAAGGAACGTCATCAGCCTTAGGGCAAGGCAGTCGTTGTCGTCTCAGTGCTCACAGTCGTTCTACATATCGATTATAACTAATGCAGTTCGGCTTGGTGTGAATTGTCCGTGGAGAGGCCATTTGTATGGA